CAACCCACCCTGAAACAACCCTGGAAAATGGTACATTTTTTTTAAAGACGACGTCTTGACACTTTTCGGCACTGTTTGTGTTCCTTCCAAGTAAACCGTGACCACCCCTGGCGACAAGGGTAGGACCGTAAAAGTTTTCAGTACCGGCAGGGTAATTACTCATGGACTTCAGTTTTACCCCTTTGTAGAACTTCCGCCATGATCTTTTGCATCCCCTCGCAAATTCCTTTTTCAGATTCTCCTGGGTGTACCTGCTATCACTATTATTATTATCGTCGCACGCCATATAACACGTGCAGGGGAAAGTCGTCTGGTTCCTTTTTTGTCTCCCTCTTTTCCCATTTTTATACCATTCGATAGGGGTAGGCCATTTCGTTAATTGCGATTTCACCAAGTGGAAGCTCGGCGATCTGGTCGTTAAGCCAATCGCGCCCTGATAAATTGCCGCTTTCTTTTTTCGACGATGATCAAAACGTTTCTACCGGATACTGGCATCCTCCCTTTACCTTCCATTTTTAGGGCCATCCTTTATCCCTGACACCTGTTGTGTTCCTTCCTTTCTAAATACATATCCGGATCTGACCTTTTACCTTTTTATTCAAGGTGTGTTGCACCTTTCCTATTGTTAAGTATTGGGGCTTATTACACTGCTGATTATACAGACCAGATGATCGATCATCTGGTACCTGGTGGATTCGTCTCATCGTGCTGAGATTCTTCTGACCTGACTTTCTATTAAAAATCGGTTATTTTGTCACCCCTAAAAGGATAATCATAAATTACGAAGATAACCACAATAATTTATATCGAACAATTCAACCTTTGTTAAATATTCCAAGAATTAAATACATACCATCTCGAGATCAAATCTTGGGGAAGTTTAAGATAACAAAAGTCTTATCTGTAATCGTTAAAAAATGATCAAAATACTTGTTTCTTCATCAATTTCAATCTATCGGGTGGTTCCGATTATCACAGTGATTAAAACGTGTCCTGATCGCAATTTCTACCAATACAAAGCACGGCCTATAGTACAAGGCATAAAGTAAAAGGAAAAAACTTATCACTAGAATGCCAGGGAGATCCTTTTGTCCGATGGTCGCTTTATTCATTCCCTCGTGCCATTTCTGTACCCAACCTCCTACTCTTCAAGAGAGCCGCAACCCTCGACGGTTTATACCTGAAGCGACCCTTGAAAATCTGTTCTCGGAAGAGGTATACACATCGTCGTTCCTCCCTCTTCCTTTGAGGCCTCAGTTGCCCGGCAGTCGTCGTGCAATGCACTTCTGTTCATAAGAAAGTGTAACTTCGTTTCATCGAGCGTTCGGAGGTTATTTTTATAAAATTTAAAAAAAAAATGTATAAAATCTGTTTCTGATGTCATATATAGTTACTGCAAATCTTGTGACAGTGTGAGTGACCAGCAGAATTGATTCAGGATCGACGTTATCGGCATTCCCCTTTTTGTAATGTGGTGTGTAGTTTCGTGTACCGAAGGAGTGACGATAGTGTTTTTCTAGTTCACTTCCTTATCTACATAGTATGTGCGTTCAATGGGAATCGTACATGCATCTAACTGATTTTGGGTAAATAGCCATTGGAATTCTATTGGATCGTTCAGCCTGTGGCATTTTAACGGTATCCTGTACAGTCGAGGTACGGAACTGAATGGTTCATGCATTCTACGGTTGGATTATCTTGCTTTGGCTTCGGGTTTCGAATCCGACGGTTGGACTATAAATTGGAATGTGGTTTTCAAGCACGTCCGCCATTTAGTTCTAAGACAAACGACCAGGAGTATAATATTGACTATGTGTACTTGAAGATTATTTCAAGAGAATGCCCGTGCTATTTGTACCGTGCATTATATCTGGATCCATTATTTACGTCGGTAATAAGGAATATAGTGCACTTTTAGTGGAACCGTTGTTCAGGAAACACGTGACCGGAAATAATTTTAGGTCTAGAAATGACATGTGCGTCGGACCCTTAGTAATAATGACTAAGTGCATCTACCTTTTTTTTGAGCTATGACTTATTCCGAGTTTTGGTTATGGAGTTTCGTGTTGAGGCTGTAGAAATTGGAAAGAGGAAACTCCTTTATAACGAAGTACTTTGTTTTTCTTTAAAAAAAGACCAACTCAAGTCTTCTACTTAAGGGCTTAAGGTTTGATCATGTTTCCATCTTCTTGTGGGTTGTACAACAAAACAGGGGTTACGAGTAACTGCGGTAAAAGCAATTTGAACAAAACACGGTCCTATCTTGTGTACGCCTTCGGGCAAGGTAGACGTAGGACAAAACCTACCATCATCCAAAGTAGCCAAGGACATGAATTGCCGGGATCTGTTCCTGGAGATGGTTTTTCATGAGTTTCCTTTGTTACTACAGTCGCCATTGGTCAGGGGACGAAGAGGATGGAGATACAAACGGTCAAGTGGCAACGGAACATCCCCTTGCCGAGGCATCCATCCCCCTCGTGACACACTCTCGACTTCAGGAAATATCTCCAGCGCCTTCGATCTCTAGTGGCGGATCTCAGAGTCACAAGGCAAACTCCCAGAATCAGGAAAGTGTCTTGCAGAAGTTCCGTAAGAGCTTCTCGCTTAAGTTTCACAAAAAGGGTAGCAAAGAGAGTACAGAGGCGGAGGGGGCTGCTGAAGATAACGAAGCGTTACCTCTGGAGGAGGAAGAGGAACGCGATCCGCCACCGCCTCCTGCTCCCGAACAACCTCCCCAGCACAAAGAGGATATCGGCAACGATCAGAAGTTCCGGTTCGTGTGACAACATTTTGAATTTCTATGAGTTATGAAACAAATCTTTTTTTTACTTTTTTTTTGTTACGGACCTACGTTTTATTGATATTTGTTAGATCAATCACCGGAAGTCTAGATATCTTCTTCAACTAGTTATTGTTTCAGATTTGGTCCTTTAGTCTGGAGGACAAGCAAGGAGAGGAAAAAAGGCAATAAAGCAGCGCGCAATGCGAAGTGCAACAGCGGCGATAGTGGAATTCAGATCGAGGTAAGCTTCAATCCAGTAGCGTATCTAGTGAAATATTCCCTCGAGGTCGTAACTATCGTAAGGACATTCCAGTAGGAAAATCCTCAGATGCCCAGACCTAACATCATTTTGTGGATGAGGTCCAAGTCAACACCGACTACTCGAATATACGGGAGTCAATTCTATTAGATGGCTCCCATAATACTTCACGTAACCCCCAGAAGTCTGTGTCATACATAAAATTGAGCTATGTCCCTCATATAGATGGTATCTGGTGGAGCATTGACTGGGGGCACTGGGGGTGGAACAACCGGGGGTGGAGATAGCTCCGAATCCCATGACACGGATGTTCCCGATGAGATGGACAGCCCTCCGGCACTACGCAGGAGGGTCGCAGACAAGTCCCGACCCCAGTCCGAGCTCATCAACCAGATACTCATTGACAAGTTCAAGGTAAAAGTCTGGCCTCACGCTTTGGCCTTTATCTAACCGCTGCTACCCTCTGTGAATTGGATGTTAAGCCGTTTCCCTAAATCCTATTACAATCTATGCTTTTCTCATTTTTTTATCACCGTAGTCACTGACCTTTTAGAATGTAAACTACCTCTGAACGTGTTATTCGGCTTCAAGTAACATCACTGGCACCGAACAAAGAGCTGTTATCAATATCTGCATGCATCACTTACCATGCTTCATCGTTCATTCACACCGGGAACGTCAGGATTTTCTTTCGAGGGATGATTTGATTGTTGATCGTCGTGAATTGATTTTTCTTTTGTTCTCGTATCATAAGCATGACACAGTACTTTTGGTTCATTTAAATAATTTAGCACTATAAAAGCAGTCATAGTGATATCTGAGTATATCGCGCTAGCCAGGATATGCGGAGAGGAAGCGCAATCCTGGTTAGTTGATATCAGACATTCACGAAGAGCGGACTGATATGGAAAAAAGTATCGAATAGCAATTCCTGCGTTATGTGTCCATTACGAAAATCTTACTCTTAATTATTAAACTCCGGTGTTCAGTTGAAAGTTATCATAGAAGATGAAGATTGTGAAGTTATCTTGAAACCCATCATCGTTACGGTATGATCCGATAAAGTGATGCATGTACGTATATCAAAGTTCGGAAGAAAGTGGTTAGATAAGAGTATATAACGTGAGGAAACGTATTTTATTCCCTCTATGAATCACCGAACTTCAGTGACGACTTTCAGTCTATTGTTGAGCGTCTCGGTAGAAATTTTCTTTAGAGAAGAAAGGAAAATAATAATAAAAAAATTTGTACCGTGATCAGCGTACGTAAGCTCAAGGCAAAGCTGTCGCAATTAGGTCTACAGAAAAATTGCTTAATTAATTATTACATAAATCCAATAATCAGTGTCTATAATACCACCTAGATCAATTAACCTATTGACACACTAATATCCGAGACAATTAATTGACGGTGCTGTTATTAATAATTACTTTAATATCTTACAGGCGGATCTTCAAAGCCGTGCCACTCGGCATCATCACGTCCGCAGGACCAACAGTGACCTCGGAGGTCAAAGACTTCTTCAGTGGGATACAAGATCCGGCTACAGCCACGCACATAGTTACAGAAGGATGCTGTCCACCCCATCACCCATCAAGACGAGGCCGCCCAGACTCAGTCCGAAACATTCCTCCCATGACATAGTTACGCTAAGAAGGTGTGTCTAAAATCATCCTGCACTCGCCTCTCGCGTTTCGTTATTAACCTTTGCCATCTGGAAAGCAAGAGCTGCCATCGAGAGCGATAGAACCGGAGCGAGTACCTCTATAGTGTAGCTAAAGCGTATTGCAATATGGCGGAAGAAGTCAATCTGAGATCATCAACCAGACCATAGTACTCTATAGTCATTGGGATTGCTATCGGAACTTGTCCCACCTAATCTGAACTTGCTGGCAGAGATACGTCAGATCGTGATTTCATTTGAGAGGCGCCACCTAGACTTTCTCGTTTGAGATCAGAAAAACTGGGAAAAAACAATTCATACGTGATTCCCTTTCGAAATATCGTAGTATAAATATCTCTGTGTGGCTGAAAGAACAATTTATACGTGATCTCGTTTCCAAAGTATCTCTGGAGGACGCCAGCGGCTTCCTATTTGACGACTCGAGGTACACGCTCTGGTTCGAATGATAAAATAGTAAACGTTAACCGATTGAGCGTAATGCCGAAGGAATGCTTGACGCTAATTTTAGTGCATAAGGTGGAAATGGATATATATATTTAGACGACTCGAGGTACACGCTCTGGTTCGAATGATAAAATAGTAAACGTTAACCGATTGAGCGTAATGCCGAAGGAATGCTTGACGCTAATTTTAGTGCATAAGGTGGAAATGGATATATATATTTATTTTTTTTTTTTTCTTTCCACTCACCATACTTATACATAGAATGACTCATATGAATCTTGGACAGTGCCGTTAGACATTGATTGATCGCTGCTTATTAACACATAACAATTTTTTAATTGCTGAATTTCGTTGGGAGAATTGACATTTTTTATTCCAACATTTTCCAGTAAATCGAGGGAGACTAGTGGTAGGTAGAAGGGTATAACACTTTCTTTCTTTCCTCGTATACTTTGATTGCCACACTTGTAAGTTGTCGTAAATATTGTAATTCGTTGCTGAATGTTGTATCGAGCTTTTACGTAAATGCTTTAAGAGATGATCCAATTAACGTAACCATGTCTGCGTTATTTGACTAACCGTATCCTCCTTTGGTCTAATAGTAACTCGAAAGGGAGGAGTTCACGGACAAATTTGAGGAGGTCGCTTAGTCAGCCACTGGGTATCAATCAGCTGTCACCTTTGATGCGCACCAAAACAGCAGGTACGGAATGTTATAGTCGATTAAATTAACGTATCAATTAGACCACTTGTAGTAAATATTGATTTTGTTCGATGACTGTCAGTTCATCTCCGAGTCTCGAATAACGTTAGGAAACTCGAATAATCCTAATGTGATTAGATAACGTAGTCTGTAGAGACCCCACCCGTGTCACACTTGATTAGACATTATATTTATAAAAATGCATGACTTTTAGAATTAATAACTACTAATTATCATCGACGTATTTAGAATTCATTTTCTATCTATCTACAAGAATTCCTTGACCGTTCTGGATGAATTGCTGCACCGTTCTCTAATCTTATATCATAAAATATGTGGATCAATCTTGTCTATAAAGTCATACATATACCTTCCGTTCCTGAGGGTATTGATAGTCTATTAATTTAAAGAAAAGATATACGAGTTTGAAAGTAATATAATTCTTGTACGACAGGCGCAAGATTACCCAGTGGAAATGTGGTATCAGAAGATGAGCAGGATGCTAGAGGTGGTGGCGGAACATCGGACGATGATATGATGTCGGATTCAGAATCCTCCATCGCATCTTTGACAGACAGAAAGAAATCTTTTGAACAAACGATGGAGGAGGAAATGGTGATCCTTGCGGAAGCTGTATGGGACCACGTGGCCATGGAACCTGAGGAGCTTGCGTTTCGTGCAGGGGACGTCATAGACGTCTTGGAAACACTTGATAAAGATTGGTGGTGGGGCAGCTGTAGAGGCGAACATGGATGGTTTCCTGCTGCATTCGTCAGGGTATGTCTGCCAGAATTTACTTTAAAGTTCTTACAGTCAAATATAGGATCCATGTAAAACTTTCCTTGTTTTGTTCTGGACAGCTGCGGGTTAGCCAGGAAGATACCGTGGAGGATTGTTTAGCGGCTATGGCGTCTGGAGCTCCGTCCAATGCACAGCTCAGAAGACGTACCAGTGTCTCTCTACTTTCTAACGAGCAAGTCAGGACCAGTGTGGTCCGTGAACTGGTCCAGACAGAAAGAGACTTCGTCAAAGTTCTACGTGATATGGTGGAGGGCTACATAGCTGAGTGTCGAAGACGTACTGATATGTTCACAGAAGAACAGATAGAAACAATTTTTATAAATTTGGAAGAATTACTAGAATTTCAATCCGAATTTCTTAAAGATCTGGAGGCTTGCATAGACTGGAACGCACCACACAAAAGTTGCGTCGGCGAATGTTTCCTTAATCATGTAAGCCTTTTTCTATTGACCTCAGTGTCAATCTTAATCGCTTTTCAAATAATCAATTCTTCTTTTCAATTACTTCAGAGAGCTGGTTTCCGCATGTACTCCGAATACTGCAATAGTCATCCAATGGCAACCGCCACTTTACAAGAGCTTTATCAACATAATCGCTATAGTAAATTCTTCGAAGCTTGCCGACTGATGCGTAGTCTAATAGAGATCCCTTTGGATGGTTACCTATTAACTCCCGTTCAAAGGATCTGCAAGTATCCGCTTCAGCTAGCCGAGCTTCTTAAGTACACCAAAGCCGAGCATCCGGATTATCATAAGATTCAGGAAGCCCTCGAAGCGATGCGTGGCGTCGCTGTGCTAATTAACGAAAGAAAAAGGCGAATGGAGAGTCTCGAAAAATTAGCTGCCTGGCAACAAAGAGTCGAAGGATGGGAGGTACTGAAATATTATCGATTTTCAAAATCCATTATAATTAATCCGGTAATTCCTTATAATTTTAATTCACTTAGTCAAATTTTCGTTACAGGGTGAAGATCTGATAGAAGTTTCATCGCAGTTGATCCATCAAGGTGAAGCTGTGCGAGTAACCACGGGCATGTGGACTAACAATATAATTCTCTTTTTATTCGATCATCAATTGGTCTACTGTAAGAAAGATATTTTAAAGCGCAATACCTACGTCTACAAAGATCGGATATATCTGGATACCAGTGAGGTCATAGACGTTCCTGATGGAAAAGGTAAACTATAGTTTATATAGTAACACAATTTACATATATGATACTCTTAACTTTTATACTGATACAATGTTTTATCAACACCAGATCCGCAACTGGGTGTAACTGTAAGACACTGCCTGAAAGTATATAGCTGTGTTCGTGATAAATGGCTGCTATTTTGCTGCCGCACAGCTGACGAGAAACAACGGTGGCTAGCAGCAATGGCCGAAGAGCGACGTCTGGTTGCTCAGGACAGAAACGATGGCCTAGAATTTCCTGCAGCTGCTCGACAATTGGCTAGAATTGCCGCCACGCGGCAGCGCTGTCGGCCACCCACTAAACCCCGCAGTAAGTATATATCCCATGAGTAGTACTTTCACACTTGTGTCTTATTGCCCTAATCAACTGTAAAACTTAATCATCATTTTTCCTCTTCAGGCAAGACATACAAGAGAGACGCCACCTATGATTCTCCAGTGATTGCTCCTCAGGGTGCCACAAATTCACTTGGACGTAAAGTAGGAACGTGGTTCACGTTCGGAAGCAGCAAAAAGGGTGTTCGACCTCAACCATCCTGAGCCAGGCCTACCTTCGTACCGTACATTGACTTATAAACTTCAACGAAAGCGTCTAATCTGCGTAGCTCGACTAAATAAGTAATTCAGCTGTCTTCGATAGACCGAGAGACCAACAACCCACGCACGCAGTTTAACAAGAAGTTAAGTATGGCACGAAGGTATTTGTATTGTTCGCTAATGAAGGGCGCGGTGTTCATGGTTATTTAGAGATTTATACCGGTACACCCGGTACGTAGCGAGTGAAGAGTATGGAGATAGGTAGGATCGTCGAAGTGGGTGCTAACAATATGTAGATTCGTGATTATCGAAATTGTTTTTTTGTTGCTCTTTTTTCCATTTTACTTTTCGATAGTACCTCTAAAGGCCATTATACAATGCAATATAATAACACGTAACACGTAAGAAATAAGCAATAAGATCTTCAATTGTATATTTACCTAATTCCATTGGATCCTCCAATCAAGAAGGAGAAAATCTTCAATTGTATATTCACCTAATTCCATTGGATCCTCCAATCAAGAAGGAGAAAATCTTCAATTGTATATTCACCTAATTCCATTGGATCCTCCAATCAAGAAGGAGAAAATCTTCAATTGTATATTCACCTAATTCCATTGGATCCTCCAATCAAGAAGGAGAAAATCTTCAATTGTATATTCACCTAATTCCATTGGATCCTCCAATCAAGAAGGAGAAAATCTTCAATTGTATATTCACCTAATTCCATTGGATCCTCCAATCAAGAAGGAGAAAATCTTCAATTGTATATTCACCTAATTCCATTGGATCCTCCAATCAAGAAGGAGAAAATCTTCAATTGTATATTCACCTAATTCCATTGGATCCTCCAATCAAGAAGGAGAAAATCTTCAATTGTATATTCACCTAATTCCATTGGATCCTCCAATCAAGAAGGAGAAAATCTTCAATTGTATATTCACCTAATTCCATTGGATCCTCCAATCAAGAAGGAGAAAATCTTCAATTGTATATTCACCTAATTCCATTGGATCCTCCAATCAAGAAGGAGAAAATCTTCAATTGTATATTTACCTAATTCCATTGGATCCTCCAATCAAGAAGGAGAAAATCTTCAATTGTATATTCACCTAATTCCATTGGATCCTCCAATCAAGAAGGAGAAAATCGTTTTTAAAACCGAGCGTTTACTAAGTTTCTACGATTTTTGTGACGTCTTGGACATAACAACGATACGGAACCGGAGTATCGTTGCTATGTATTTTTAACGTAAGCCATTACAGATTACGGAACGGGGCATGCTCGATGCTACTCATCGCGTTCCGTGCTCCGTGAAATACGTAATATTTCGCCAATATTTTCATGCGTGAAATGTCATTACCTGTCACCTGTCATTAACCAACTCTATAGACGAGGTCATTATCAATATAGTTAGAGAAATGAAATTTCTCTACGATAAAAGTCATCGTGACTTTAAAAATGAAGTAATGATTTACTTATCTGTATGAATAAACGCATACACATTTTTTTTTAATATTTATATATCGACAGATCATGACAGGTGACAGGTAATGACATTTGACAATGATGTTCCGTGCTCCGTGAAATCCTTAACGACCCTAGCAACCGCTTCCGTATCGTTGCTATGGCCAAGACGTCACCAAAATCGTAGAGACTTAGTAAACGCTCGGTTTTAAAAACGATTTTCTCCTTCTTGATTGGAAGATCCAATGGAATTAGGTAAATATACAATTGAAGATCTTATTGCTTATTTCCTCTGTGTTACGTATTCCATTGCATTGTAGAATGGCCTTAAGGGAACAGGGGATAGTGCTGTAACTTATTAACTGTTTGAAGTTAAACGGTATACGTCTGTTGTACGGTTTTTAAGTTACAGTAATTGTACCGTATAATATATATAATGACGTATGGGAGGTAAATGACAAAATTACGAGCTTATATATTATAAGTGACCATTTCACAGAACGTATCCTACGTACGTTGCTAGAGAATGAGGGTGGGTGTATGGAGGGAAGTATAGAGTCATTTATCACATAAATCCTTACCACAAAGCTCGATGCTACTAACGTTATCTCAGCGGTAAACAGTGAATTATAGTTTCCCGCTGTATGAAATATTTTTTTGGAACTCTCGCCATGCGAATCAAGCTGATAAGAACGCAATGAATAGTACGACTACACTAAACAGTCTATTGAGGTAATAGCAAACTCACGTATATAGATCGTTCTGTCTTTAAGTGAAATGTGATTTAATATTGTTTAATGAGATTGTACCATTCAAGAGGTTCATGTTTAAACTAAAAAAAAAAGTATTTCCTGTATCAAAGATAGCAGAATTGTTAATGATTATTAGAAAAGAAAAGAAAAGTGCGACTGTACTCTTGCGATGACACAACTACGAGTTGAGCAGAAATTTTTTAGAATTTTGGCAAATACCATCCAATATCAATGAATAATAATACTCAGAGAAAAAGCTGCATCGAGAATAATTCTACACGGAAGGGACATATAAGAAGGATAATTTTGTATGGGGTGTTTTATAAGTATCGTTAATCTTTGCGATCATTGAAAAGACTGAAGGCAAAATGCTTCCTTCTCGAAAATGTCTGTAAAGTATAAAATGGCCGCGAAGCGTCACGAAACGACTCATGACACAACGTAGACGTCATCTGAATCGTAAATTCGATTCCATCCTAACTCTTACTGCCTAAAATTACGCACCACTTGACTTAAGTGTTAAAAATTCATAATACTCATATGTAGATTGTACTACGGTTTTAAACTCGAATGGGCCAAAAGTGTGTTGCACGGGTTGATACCGTGAGAAAATGACAGTATCGAACGGAGATTCTAACCAGCATTGTAAATATCTGCATATCAGATCTCTGTTACTGTTTAACGGTGAAACTGGAAATAAGCAAATGCACCTTTAATCTTTGATACTCTTTGGCGATCGTCTAACTTTTCTACTTGTACTGTTGAGGCCAAAATCAAATTTATTTTTCACAATTTCACAAACATGAAACTATCATGCAACACACTTCATATGGAATAATACTCAGTACGTAAGTAAATGGTGTATGCACTGAAAATGAACACTACATAATAGTTATGCAATTTGAAAGTTTGAAATACTGACAAGATTTTGCTTCACTCTTAGGTTCTCAAAGTGCATTTGAATTTAGTAATGCTTCAGGGTTAGCTCTATGCTTCTAAATATTCCATATCACTTTTAAAACTAGATAAACACTCTGTATACGGTCGTTAAAGAAGTGCAAACTATATTTATATATTTTTCAGTTAGCCGAAAAAGGGATAACAAACGTACTTGGATACACATAAATACTTTTGAAGCCTCTTACAATTTAACTTGCAACTAGAGTACTAGAATTATATGCTTATTTCCTGACACCGCAATTTATTATTATGATGAGGACAATATGATGATGATAACGATGGTGACGATGATAATGATAAATCGATGAGGAGCAAGAATCCTAACTATACTGTACAGAAATTGTAACCTGTTGATGTTTAGATTTAGTAACGACACAATTGTTGCTGAACACGAACTCCTCTGAGAATTATTTTTATAGGACAAACGTATTGGTTCTTCGTTTGATTTCTTTGTACGTACTCTGCTACATAAGACAATTTTGATGGCCAACGTAAATAAATGGTAAGGTGGACCTTTCGCGAACTCGTAATATTGTAACAAAAAGCAACAATGAAAAGTTGCGACGGCGTATATAGTTTCGGTACTTTTTAAAACATTTGAATTTCGCGGCGGTACACACAATAAATAAACGAGGTATCGTCTTACTTGCACACGTAGTCATTATACAGCGCTACGATGATCTTTTGATATGTAATTTTCGAAGAGCTAAAACTAAACGAAAATAAAATGTTCTATCTATTCAATTCCTGTCGGATCCAGTGTATCCATATGAAAATTGTGTTCGAATACGTGTTTAGAGATACTTAATGAAATCAGAGACACTTGCTGTCCATGTTACTCGGTAATTAAATGCATGGCTTCTGATCAATTACATAAAAAAGAAAAGATTTTAATCTGTTAGTTTCTCGCGGACCATTCCAATTGCAATGAACTCTACTGATGTTAAAGTCATATTTGACAGGGAAGTCGGTCAAATGTAAAATCGTTGATTACTCGACAACTCTAATGGCTGTCCTTTTTGAAAAGTTGAAAAGCATATATCTATTGTGAACAAACATCGAGACACCTTACGCAACTATAATTCTGTCATTCGTTCATGAATGATCTACCTTTAATATAGTTTGGAGTACTATCGGTAGTTGATGACTTTGTAGAGAATCTGCACAACGTTTACGAATACTGTGCTTGGAAGCAATAATATTAATAGGCATTACCATATTCTAACGTAGGCCGTTACATAAATACATGTTTGTCTTCGGGTTTGTAATTGGTAGTTATGCATTTGTAATTATAACCAGCGTTATGAACTTTGAAATGACTTCAGACGATTTGGTTTTTTACTTGCATATGCATATCGCGCCATTAAACAACTATTGGTACTAAAACTGTATCCTTTTATCAGATGTATATATAGCTAGATATGTATTTTACTGTTGTAAATACTATAAATATAATGGCGAAAGATATACAGATACGTTGTATTAATTAAGTCGGCCTGAAGTTAATGAAAAAGAAAAAAACTAAGAACATCGTTTCACGATCTGAAGTACATAGATTAATTGTTTCGCACGATCGTTTGTATATTTATATATCTAAATGAAAAATAATTTAATGATTTTATAATTAGTTAATCAAGCTTAATTCGATCGTTGATGATATTCATATCTCTGTTATTTACGATATGTACAGTTGAAATTGTGTTATTATTACGGTTAAAAATTGTTTGCACTATAGAAATATATACTGAGTTAAATCTATGTAAATAAACATTTTATAATTATAATAGTAATTTATTTATTTTACTTTTACGAAATATTTACAGCATCTTGGATAAACAGTACAAATAATGTAATTTCCAACAAAAAAAATCACGGTGAAAAATAATAATGAGCTATGGCATAATAATATTTTTATAAGTGTTAATTAAACTCATTTTCTAAATAGTAATAACGGATACTCAAAATATCGGGTTTTATGTAAATTTAAGTAAAAAGTTTTCAGAGTTCGTTTAAATGTGTCCCAACTTAGTTTTATACATAATTTGTCATCGAGATTGACTGACGTATAAAAATATGAAAAGAAAATAATTAAACGAAATCACAGCGTAGACATGGTTAGGACCCCAAAATAAAATCTGATGTGGGTGCAATCTGTGCTTTTAGTTGAGAATTTTCTCTTCTTAATTGAGATGCTAATTGACGTAGACTTTTAGCCTCTTGAATGAGACGTTCATTTTCCCTCAGTCCTTGACCAAGACTCTCGTTAGCTTCACGCAGTTCAACAATGTACTCACACGCACGAGCTAAAATACCACCTTTACTCTGTAATAAGATAACATCCTTGTTTAAATATTTATCATTATTTTTTATTTAACAAGAAATCTACAATTAAGATATGAACCTGGGACTCAAAGTTTGGCTTGCCTTCTCCTTCGCCAGTAACAGTGTTATTACACTCAGGTAACAGCTTTCCCAGTTTGGATATCCAATTATTGATCTTGTCCCTTCTCCTTCGTTCTACTTCATTGTGGGTTACCCTCCTTCGTTCATCCCTCTAAACAAAACTGTCTGAGATGGATGTAGTTTGAATACATATTCGAGTTGACCAAGTTAATTACAGTGGAAATAAGCAGCATAAATTTTCATGTGAATTTAAAGAGTACAATCTACCTGAAAAACATACCTTTTTAATACCAGATGTAGCATTGTGTGGTGTTTCTAACTGTAGTGTTGTTACTCTTGGTGATAGAGATCTTGCAGTCTGAGTAGTAAACACTTCATTTCCATTACTAATTACATAAAACTGTCCATTGAGCGGTGAACTCAAGACTTGCACAGAACTATTTACAGGCTGCGCTAAAGGTAATTCTATTTCCCCAGATTCATTATCATTGACCTGGACTACCCTATAAGCGAGTCCTTCACTCCTGGCAGCTTCTGCTAACTGATAACGTAAGCCTTCTTCGGCAATACCGTCACCATCTCCATCGCAGTCCACAACCTCTGCCTCTTCCAGAACTATCCCAACATTTTCTTCTGTGTTCTCCTCTGTGCTATAAAATATTGTTTACGCAATAACTATCACTGTACAAACTACCACTCCAATATATCAAGTTAAAAATGAATTATCTTTTCCCATCAATAAAAATCTTACTTAACAATGACAAAAATAAACTGGTAATAGTCTGAAATAACTACAAAACATTAAGTTATGGCTGAGTTATCTAATGTTTAGATTCTTCACAGTAACCTTTAAGGCATTATACAAGGTAAAAGATAACATTATGCAAAGACAACAGACGAATTATAAAGCCCCACAGGAGTCAATAACAAAAACGATAAAATCGACAAAATGTTTTCTTTCAATAAGCTAATATAATTCCTAATCAATCCTTGAAACACCTTGATTCGTATTCCAATTTAAATGTAAATCCTCCAAAATACGCAGCTGGCTATAAGAATAACCAATAAGCATAGAAACTAATCGAAGAAAACATACCTTTCCCCCAAAGGATCAAGATGATGCTCCAATATATCCATTATAGTTTCAAAAACTTTTTGAATTTTCGTCGACTTCACGTGAACAGGTCACGAGACTCGGATACGAAAGAAAAAACACATGTGATTTATGGTAACTCAAGAAGCTCAAGAAGTACTATCAGAGATGAGTAGGGAGATTACCAATGAACCAAATTTCATTCGGGGATGAGTACCGTGATCATGGAACTTAAGGTAATGTTTCATGCATGCGACCGCGACAATTGTCGCGCGACGAAATCACACTGATTGGTTAAAGTGCGACAGAATTCTATCTTATATGCGACTATATGTGACGAAGCTTGCAAGCCGCGGAAAACAAAACGCACGTGGATAAGACTAGTAGATTTTTATTAGATTCCTCACATAAATTTTAAATTCTAGCAAGTTAATGGAAATGACCGATATAATTATGATTATCAGAAGTCCAAGACAACTCGTAGAGCGTCGCCATATTTCATAGACGCGACGGAATTCTTTACGTCAGCGTAGTATCGTCGCGCGCGACAGTGTCGCGGTCGATGCATGAAATACTACCTTAAGAAGTCGACTTTTGTTCATTATTTCTGTTGAACAGTAGCGCCTCTATCAAGAAACATCAAAGACCCTCAAAGCGTCCACTAAATGGAGTTTTGAATGCAAAGTACATAAAATTCCTTAAAAAAGAAAAGAACGATTCCTCTTCAATATGCTCAAACTTACTCAAAATAACACCTTAATTGTAATCCATCAGACTCTTACACATTATATCATAAGGAATGTAATAATTAATGACTAATTAAAACGACAAGGGTTCACAGTACTATTTCAATATATTGAATTTTATTACAAAATGTCTGTGTTTAGGCTACAACATGTAATATAATGACATTTGGTCTAGACCCTTATGAAAACAAAAGCTTTACTGCACCACATTTTCTATTGCCTCAGCAAGACAACACGTTTATCTTTCTACACTTCAAGGAGTTTGTTACTCTCGTGATAAATGCAACACAACGATGAACTCGAAATATTCTCGTTATGCGTTCAGAAGTCAAATATAAATTGCACAATCAGTTACCTCTGAACGGATAACAATGAAAAATGAATCTCTGATCAATGAAGTAATCATTTGGCTTATCGAAGACGCATTGATTCCCCGTGTTGTTGCATCGAATATCATTATACTTTTTCATCCATTAGCTTAGCTGATGGAACCGAAAAGCTTATTGATTGTGATACTATTAAAAAAAATCATTTTAAACGTAAGGCATTAAAGATACAGTTATTAATTAATATAAAGTAAAAAAAAAATTATCGTCCTTCGGAGTAAAGTACAGCATTCCTTGAAGTGCGATTCAATAATGAACGACTCGAAAATGTGTCACAAGACTGACGTTAGAGGAGGAAAATATAAAAGAAACGAAAGAGAGAAAAAGAAAAGACAGATTGTACAGCAAAACTACATACAATCAAAATACATTGTTTAAGTGTAAAAATAATAAAATTAGCGATTTAGCGATCGTAAACCCTCGATTACATTGTTTGTGTAAACGTTCTGTCGTGGTAAACGTTTTAGAAGTAAAGGAAACTATCCCAAGCAGCTAATCCTAAGATAATGTAATATCTTTTTGTTTATTTATATAACTTCTATTTATATTAGGTATGCACGTACGTGTGATAACTAAACAGATACATGATTTCTGCTGCGCAGCGCCACTAGCGGCATATTCAAAGTCAAGGAACATGGGGCTGTCGAATGCAAGTTGTGACAATATTTCCACGCTCGAAAACTAATGAATGATTCCGTGTAATACGCTTGACAGTAATCATTCAGGGATTTTCTGTTGAAATGCGATTAACGCGTTTTTATTTTTCTTTCTTTTTTTGTAACGTTAAATCGAATTGCCTCTTATATCATCCCGGACCCGATACCGACATAGCGACAAACAAAATAATTTACGATTTCCTTCTTGTAAAATTTGATTCGGCCGCGCACTATTTGAATAATCTTTCAAGTCAGAATTATAATTACATTGTGTCCACATTAGCAGAAAAAAGAACGAAATAAAAAAAAAAAAGAAAGAAAGATAAAGAAAGAGCTTTTCCATTTTGTTACATGACAGCATCATATTCTTCGACGTACTATAATTATATATTTAATAATTTTTTTTTCTCGTATAATTATCAAGTAAAATTTGTAAAATACAATATACTGCCTATTATAAATTCTTAATCTTTTCTTTATAAATAATTATAGTAGTAGTCTTCACACCATTTTTTTGTTAATTTATTATAATCAGATACCATTCCTTTCAAATTTAATTTAAATATTACATTTGTGCCCTTTGCACTAACTCATTTTATGGTATTTTGCTTGACTATGCATATAGTACATGTAGTATACTCTAAAGGACTTACTGTATTTACATATATACATATAACAACGGCACCTGAGCCGATTTTGTCAATATACTTTTTTTCCCATTAGCACTACAACCGATTCTTTTTAAATAAAGGTATCGTCTGGAAAAAGTGTTCTACAACCACTAATAATGGACTTGGAAGTAACTTTGAATATACCGTTCGCACGTACACCAAACGGTCATAATGATAAAACATGTCTCAGATCTGTATTTTTAATTTTTTTAGTCGTCATAGCATTACTCTCACCTATTCTTTCGTTTTATTTTTCAATTAGTTGCTACTTCACTGTATACCTCCTTGGTTTATGCGATTTTCCCAATATATAAACCAAACTATAAGAAGAATTTAGTTACGAAATATATATGTTGCACTACCAACACCATTTACTTGGCCAACCTTGAATTTCTACCTTCTGGTGGCTTTTCATTGTAAAGGCGAAGGTTGTACATAACTTTCTGCTTAAGAGCACAGAGACTCAAGCTGATTGGTGTTATCTGCACATTCTGCTAAGAATTGTAGAATGTGCAGATAAGAAATCAGCAAATATATCTATTCCCCTGATAAAGCTCCACATCAACTATGTGAAAAAAAAAAGTTCATGCCTACGTCCCAAGAAAATTACCATATAAATTCACTATCTTCAACTACATGCGATCAATCCGTGCATTCTTCAAGCAAAAGGTTACGATTTGCCTTTACATTACAAAAAGTGGTGAGTTCTATCTAGCGATTCAGGGTTGGCCAAGATCTCCCTCATGCTACGAGTCGAGGTCATCTTCCCTCTGGCTGCTAAAGTACGAGACCAAACCACCGAATTCACCCGAGCCCTCTTCATCGTACTGTTTGTTGCTATTAGCAGCTTCACTAGGATGCGGTTGTGGCTGAGGAGGCTGAGGCTGAGGAGGTGGTGGCGCTTGTATGGGAGCTGGATTTTCGGCAGGTGTCGAAAAGTGTTCAGCTGGATAGGGAGAGCCTTGATAAGCCGCCGCATCATCCGCCGTGGACATTGGCGGCGGAGGAGGATAAGCACCGTAATGATAGTTTGGTGGTGGAGGTGGATGATAAGGCGAGAAATTACCAGGTGGCCGATTTGGTGGTGGAGAAGCTTGCTGTATACTATGATTAGCTGGTGAAGCGCTAGAGAAAGGAGGTATCTGATGTCTGGGACCCATAGGACTGTTGTCCGGGAATCTTGCGAGTGGAGGACCGCCTCTTACGTAAGGTGGCGGCGGGGGAGTGGGTCCGCCCTTGGCGAGGGGACTTCCAGCAGCAGGTGGAATCATAGCTGGACCTGGACCCAGGGGAGAGCTACGATCCCGACTGTTGATGGATATGGGTCCACCTCCCGAAGGCGACGGATCCATGGGATGATGAGGAGTGTGATACATCTGTGGTCCAGGTACCCTCATCCTCATAGGCGGGGTCCCTGACCTTACAGCCGCGAAGTGCGGGGGCATTGGGGATTGACCTGGTTGCCGGTATGGCGAAGGAATCCTACCGCGGGGTTGCATGTCGTAACTGGAACGTGGTCCTCCCATCATCTGACCTGCCGCATTCGGTGCGCCAAAGTATTTGTGGCCCATCGCAGCTGCCGCAGCCGTGAAGGATTGTGGGCTGCTGGAAACTGGCTGCGATTGCAGCATTCTCGTGATAACGGAAGACTGTTGACTAGGTGGCAATGATGGGTAGACCGGCTGAGGATTGGTTGGCTGACCCGAAGGCTGTCCCTGCGTTGGCACGACATTCGCTGGCGGTGTTGAGGGTGCCGAACCAGAGGTACTGCTACCTGGAGTAGGAAGTACGTTTGGGATATCATCAGGTTTTGCTTCTGAATTAGAATCGGTTCCCATTCCAATGAGACCACCCTCGGCTGCAGCCTTCGCCGCTGCTTCTGCAGCTCGAGCAGCTTCCAGTGCAAGAGTTTTCTTACCCTTGCCACGCCCTCTTCTCTTGGGTTTCATTGGTGATCCATCAGGATTGAATAGCTGCCCGTCTGGTCCAGTCATGATAGGAATATGCCCTTCCGTTGTCCTCTCCGTTTCAGGAGTCATAACTGCAGGTAAGTTAGGATTTATGTTAGGAGTCATATTAGGCGTCATACTTGGAGTTATATTAGGAGATATGGTAGAGCCTAAAGCAGTAGGTCCCAAATTGGGAGCACCGTCTCTCCGCATTTGCTCGGCGAGTATTTCCGCCTTGCTGCGGCGACCTCGTTTTTTCTTTTTTGGAGCCTCTCCGTCGGTCCCCTCCGGTGCATTTGGATCCCTTTGTCTTTCGGCCGCTAAAATCTCGAGGGCCTTTAATCGAGCTTTCTCTAATTTCTTAGCCTCTCTTTCCTCCTTCTTTTTCTTTTTCGCTATCTCAATCGCCGCCAATTCCAACTGGCGCCTACCGTACTCCTCGTCTTCCATCATCATCTGCTCCAGCTGCTCTTCGTCAAGCTCCTCTAGTTCCCCGGGTCCAAGCCCCGTCAGGGAACCCTCGGCGACTTCCCCCGCGATTGGACCCGCTCCAGACATTACCGTACCTGCTACTGGAATTCCTTCTCGGACGGCTTCATCAACCTTGGCCGCCACCCCTTCATCTGTATTTCCAATTTTATCAGCGCCCATCATTCTTACGCCATCATCTTCGCCCTTTGGATTCATTAAAGGCATGATCGTCAATTTTGGTTGCCGTGGCTTGTTCTTACTTCCAGGCTTTGGCCCCGGCTTCTTCCTCTGCTTCGGAGGCTCGTCCTCGCTCATCCCTTTTCCCTTTGTAGCAGGACTTTTACTGCCTTTCGGTCTCTTTGTTTTCGGTGACTTGTTTTTAGGCTTCAATGATTCTTTTTTCGGAGAATATATGTCTCCTGAAATTAATTTTATTTTTAATCTCTTAGATCACAATTAATAATCCATTGAAAAAAGATCGACATTCTAATTACCCGAATCTGAATCTTTTTCGGCATCCTCATTCAGGTCTTCTGCCTCATTAACGACGAACTCGTCTTCACTTTCCTCGGTTTTCCTTAGGGCTTTCTTTAATTCCTGGACATCATACACACACAGAGCAAGTAACGCAAATAGTCTTTTTGTGACTGCTGTTATTAATTATGTTTTAGCAATCGACACGTTACCTCTTCGCTATCCGATGCCAGCACCTCCTGGTAATTTATCTTTCGACCTCGCGTTCGTCTACTTAGGGTTTCCTCTTCTTGTCTTGGACTGTCATCTGGGAGACCACCATAAATGATCTGCAAAAATATAATATATTTATCCTGCAACTAGATACTGCACAGATCCCATATTAAATAAATAAGTAACATACCTTTCGCCTAATGGCTGGCACTTTCTTTTGTTTCGGTGTATTTTCCTATAAGTTAAAGAAACAACACGTTTCAAAATGTATTCTGATTGTATATTTTATACATTTTTTATTGGAAACGTATAAATTTAGAAGTACCTTTTTCTTCTTTTTAGGCTTTTCTTCTTCAAAGAACGGTGCAACAGCTTCACCGGAAGGCTCTAAAGGAGGTTTTTCGTCTTCTGTTTTATGTTCCTCGATAGTGGTAGCTTCATTATCTTTAGGTTCATATCCTGGTTCAATATCTAATTGCGACGGAACCTCCAGTTCTTCCGATTCTTCAGGATCCTCCATTTTTGGTTCATCCTCTTCATCATTTTCACTGTGATTATCAGACTCAATTATGCGCTTCCTCTTTTTCTTCTTTTTCGACTTTGTTTTCGATAAAGTCCTGATTCTAGATGGTTGAATGGTTTTACTCCTGTAATACAAAAAAGATGTATAATCTGCAATGAAACTAATAATTGACTTAAATCATAACAACGTACTTTTTCTTTTTCTGTCTCCACGAATTGTCGCTATCTTCACTTTCAGATTCATCCCATGCGGATTTAGACTTCTTCCGCTTTGGTCTATCACTGTCGTCACTGTCATCATTAACTGTAACGAAATAATGGTACGTGAATTGCAGATAAAACACTCCTACAGACTTAATGTAATATTGAGAAAAAAAAATGTAAAAAAACAATTACTGAAGTCTTCGTCGTAACGTGTCATTCTGGCTCTGGTAGATCTCCTTACAGGACGAGAATCTCCTTTCTTGCCACGTCTTCTCGTTTCAGCAAAGCAACTATCGTCGGATGACGTAGACTGGTCTTCAAGATCTTCATCATCATCCGAACTCGAGCCCTTGAAGTCTACATCACTTTCAGGATCGTCTTCACTACTAATGTCTAGACTATTCAATTTGCGATGCTTCTTGCGCGCCAATAATTTCCTAGCAGTCATTTTCCGTTCTTCCTCCTCTTCCTCATCGAAGTCATCGTCCTTCTCCGCTTTGTAATCTTCGTCGCTATCCTTTTCCGACTTTCTCTTCGATTCTTCTTCCTCATCCTCAAGCTGCTTCTTCTTTAGCGCTTCCGCCTGATAAAAATTACAGAATGCATTAATAAAATTTCAATGCGAATTTATCACTCGTTAAATTAATTATTCATTCCCACCTGAGCCTCCTCTTTCTCTGCATTTACAATAGTTGCAATATCTTTTCCTCTTCCTTGATTTCCAGCACCTTGAACGGCCTCCACCTCATCTTGAATAGCAGCGTTTATCATATCGTCATATTCATTAAATTTGTACGTATTTGCACAACGCCTTTCTCGCAACTGATATACAGGTTCACTTTCCCCGCTACTTGAACTACCAGAGCTTGATACAGACGAGGAGGACGAGGAATCTAATAGACAATAAAAAATATAAAGCATTACATTTTTCTTTCGTATAAGACAAAAGCATTCTGTTACTGGAATAGTAGCATCATACATAATTTAAAAACTAGAATACATAAATTGCATGACTTACCATTGTCGGATTCCTGACTGGATGTTCGGGATTCTTTGTGACTCCGTTGAGCTTCACTTTTATGGAGCACGTTATCCAAACTTATACCAACGAACGCTAGCCTCTTTTTACGCAATATTTCATTCTCGTGTCGTTTCGTCGTCTGATCGAATTTCTTTAAGCTCTCTTGCAGTTTCGTTACCAGTAAATTCTGAATATTAAAATAAATAATTAGATACCATTAATCTTCATCTTTTAGGTGTCTGTCGATTATTGCATGACTTACGTGCTGACAAGGTGGACAGAACCAGTCGCCTTCAGGAATAAGCATAAGTGCTGGCCTCAAGCAGGAGCAATGCCAACCCTTATCGCAGGTATCGCACAAGAGTATCCATTCAGGATGATCAGCTTTTCCACATTTTTGACACGCATACTCGTCATCGGCTTCCTCGTCATCGCTTTGGGCTGAAATTAAAAGCACAGTTAAAATTGTACTAGAAATTATTCATATGAAATATTTTGTCCAATTGATTATACTTGTTATACCTTTCTGAGCCGTGCGAGCTCTTCGTAACGGTTCTGATTCCTCATCCTTTTCAAGATCACTCTCTGGTGAAAATTCATGATCACTCTTGAATAGTAACGATCCTTCACTTTCTATTTCCTCATCTTCGTCATCGTCATCATCATTGTCATCATCTTCGTCACTACTAGAACCGGACGAGGTCTGCCACGGATGAGCCTCGTTAAATTTCGAAGCCATTTTCTTCTTTTTTTTCTTCTTCCATTTCTTCTTTATCTTCGATTCCCTCTCAATATCTTTTACTACAATATCCTCGTCGCTTTCAGCCTAAAAAGTAATAAAATATTTTCCATAATTTTCAATGCAAAAATAAACTAATCATTCATTCTGAGAGTTTTCAATGAATTCTTCCACTTACCTTCTGTTTCTTGCGTTTCTTTTTCTCAGTGCTGTCGCGATCCTTCTTTTCCTTTAATTCGCTCAAAGTTTCTTCTTCGATTCTTCTTCTGTCGGCTTCCTCCTTAATCTTCAACTGTGCTATTCGTCTTGACTGTCTGACAGGCGGCTCGTTTGGTCCCAAGCCACCCGACGCATCTGGTACTACAATATCTCTACCAATTTCTAAACCTAGCACCATTTTTCCTAGAAATAAGCATATACTAGGTTATTTACCATTGATAATCCTATCTAAATCGAGAAATTATTTTCCTTGAAATAAAGATGGAAATTTATTATAGAACTTGAAACTTACGCTTTTTCCTTTTCTTCTGTGCACCTGTCGGTGTCTCCATCGCAGCGTCACTAATGGGTGTACTATCAGGAGCAAGCTCAGGAGTTTCCGAAGCAGAAGGCGTACGGTCAGTAGCCTTTGCCCTTAAGGCTCGACTTCCTGATTTAAGACCCCGTCTCCTTCTTCCTTTAGGTCTTCCTCGTGTTTTCTTCTCAGCCGCAGAAATGTCAGCAGCCGTGGCATCTTCATTGGTCTCTTTGGTATCTTCCTCCACTATATCCAAAGACGTGCTCTTCACAGCTTCATCCTCTGAACTAGCTGGACCCACTCGACTGTCCTCCACAGATTTTCGTAGCCTCATATCTGGCAAACGTTTCCCTCTTAGCTTTATACGCTTCCCGCCCATCATCTCCTCTTCATCGGCATCCTGCTTCATGGTGACGTCCTCTGAGTTTGACTCGTGCGTACTGTTACGTCGCTTCCGGGAAACTTTGGGTGTCTCAGTACCATCCAGCTTCCAACCTTCATATACAAGTTCAGAGACTGACTTTACACGTATACCAATTTTGGGACTAAGTTCAGGGTCACCTGTTTTACCTGTTACGTTGCCTTCTGTGCAGGCAAGAGGATCTGCATCCTCAGAAACTTCATTGAACACGTTCTCGTCATTGTCAACTCCCATGGAATCGTCAGATTCCATATCAACATCCTTAACGTCAATACTTTGAACCTCGGAAGAATCCTTCTTGGTATCAGCATTACTCTTCTCCAGAGAAACAGCTTCTGCAGGAACCTTACCGTACACGTCGGTTTTCATTTTTCCAGTTTCCAGTACTTGAGAACTGATTGTTTCAGCAACACTACCCTCTGTGGGGATTTTCACAAACTCATTTGATACACCAAATCCTCTGTTTGTAAAGGACAAGCTAGTGTCTCTTAAACTAGCTGGTGTGTTCTCGATTGTTGGACTTATACTTGATGGTTTTGATTTAAATGGCGGTAAATCGTCAACGGTTGAGATATCACCTAGTCTTTTACTCGCCTCTTTTCTGTTATCATCCTTGATTACGTGAGTCGGTTGTGCAGTTATCATTTCTTGCACAATAGCAACTTTCGCACTGTTATCTATTATCACAGACGGATGTTCCATCAATAACGATTTAACATCTCTTGTCATCAGATTGGATGCACCTTCTTTGATCTTGTCTTCATGGAACCCTTCCAATTTTTCTTCTTGCTCCATTGAAATGTTGTCAGAAGCCTGTTGAGCAACTGCTAATGGCTTACAAGGTTCTTGCTGACTTCTAATACTTATGTCTTTTTCACCAGATTGTAATTTACTGGGATCTTCAATGATACTCTGCGATACCAATGGAATGGAACTCATTGAATGGTTTAATGAAGTATCCAATTCAATGGTGGGTTCTTTTTGTTGAAGTTTTTCTGCAAACTGGTTAACCGCTTCCACTCCCAGTTTCTTATCGTTAAATGTAATTTCACCGGTATCCTCTTTCAATCTCTTGGAAGGTTGAATAATAGGCTCCTCGTCCTCGAAGAATCCTTTGTTATCTGTCTTTGCAGTGTCTTCTGCATTGTATGTCGATACCAATTTCTCATTTTTACTGCTTTCTTCTTCATCTGAATCTATCGGTCGCTTTGTTGATTCTGTCGTTGCTTTATTTTTGTTAACTGCATTTAACGACGGGGAGCTTTCTTCAACTTTTGGAGACTCTTTTCCCTCAAAGTCTTCAGAGTCCTCAGGAGCTGGTTTTAAGGGTTTAATATTTTCTAAAAGAGAGCTTTGCTCTGTGGTACTTAGGTCTTCTATAAGTGGTTTTTCTTCTTCTTCTTTGATGGATTCTATGTTTTTACTATCTTCCTTCACTATTTCCGATGCCGATTCAATCACAAAAGGCTCGTCCTTAGCTTCTTGTTGAACTTTTGATTCCAAATCGCGTTCCTGAGGTTTCGACACTAAATTTTCTGGATACTCTTTGTCTGAACTTTTATCAAAAGATTCGTCTTTAGTTGGATCTATTGCTGTGGCATCCGCGGAAACGGTCACCTTCTCTAGACTATCTGCACTACTAGTCACAATGGAAGAATCTTCTTCATCTTCCCCCTGAGTTGTTTCATTAATTTTACAAAATGATTTTTCATCCTCTTCTTGAAAGTCTTCCTTTTCAATAGCTAGCGCAGGGATCTGGTTATTTTTAATTTCAGTCTCTTTGTTCTGTACTCCTTCTTTGTTCAAGATAGTTTCTAAGACAAGTGGTTCTTCTTTTCTTTCTCTACTGCTGGGTTCAATTAACGAGTGCTCAGAAACTTCCGATTTCTGATCCTCACCCTGAGATTTCTCATTCACAATTTCGAGCTTCTGCCTAGAGACATCTTCCAATCTGAGAATACTTTTATCTTCTTTCGGACTATCAGTATCAATTTGATCCTTCTCTGTATTATCGGTCTCAAACACATCATCACTACCATCATCATCGGAAGCATTACTGTCGTAATCCGCAACTAGAGATTGCTCATTATCAGCATCCTGACTCTCGACTTCGATGGAATCTTTGTCGAAATCATTTCCCTTCTCTACTGTAGCAGCTTCCGCATTGCTTTGAATGTCTTGCACTATGTCATGATGTTCAGTTGTATCTACAGTCTCAGACTCATTTGTTTTCTTCAGATTAATGTTAAAACTACTAGCAGTTGATTCCACTTTACCCTGTGCAGCAGAGTCGTTGCATTCAAAAGATGCTGAAGAGCTATGTTCAGTAATGAAGTTGCACTTGATTAACCGATTTCCATCTTTTTCGTCACTCTTCTCAAAAGTACTTTCGCTATCTTTTGTACTCTCATCTGCAACGGACACGTGAGTAACTGTCTGTACGACATTAGCAACACCAGAGGCTAAGCTCGCACCTTCGCTATCAGTAGGAAATGATCTGAAAAAGGAGTCAGACCGTCTACAATTGTCATTATCCTCAGACCAACCAGACTTGTCCTTTTGCAATGTATCCTGCGTCGGTAATTTATCTTTGAAGTCAAGTGTTTTCTTTTCGTTGTTCGATGTGGAATCATCAGTACCAACGTCTTTGTAAGAATCATTCGAATCAGAGAGCCTATCATCAATAACCATTGCTTCGTTAGAATCCTGATCCGCTGAGCTTCTATTATCCATCACATCATCACCATACTCGTCTATAGAATCTATTAACCCGGAGGAATCTGCTTCTTTCTTACTTTCAATTGTAATTCGTTCTGGTGATTTGGAAATATTCGAGTCCATGATGACAGCTGGTGATACTTTGTTAGTATAAATCTCTTTGACGGGTGCTTTGTTAACACCTTGTTCACCTAATAAAGAGTCATTAACACTTTTTACACTCGGATCATCCTGTACTAATTCGACTGAGTCTGATTTATTTGACATAAATGCAGGGAGTTCCTTAACGTCTACTTGAGGAGTAGGTTTATCATCCACAATATTGGATTCTTCAAGTAATTCAGTGTATGATTCTTTCTCTGGAGATTCTGGACTCAGGCCAGAATCTATTAAGTCTTTCTGCTTTTCTTCATCCGAATCCCTGGAGCGATCGTCTTGAGTACCTAAATCCGAGAATGTATCGTTCCTCTCGCTGTTTTTGTCATAACTTGCGGAAATCGAATCTGCATCAGAGCCAGCAAGTCCTTTCAATTTATCAGCATCAGTATCTCCGGACTGATCATCCTGAGCATCCAGATCCGATAAAACATTACTTTTTTCATATTCAAAAGAAGAATCCACTGTATCTTTTTTTGAATCTTCCAGAATGCCTTTCACATTCTCCGGGCTGTCTTTTTCAGTTACTGATGTACTTTCTCTCTCTGAATTCTTATGAAGTGGTAAACTCGTTGATTCAAATGTTCCACCTGAATTACTACTGTCAGATTCTCCTAACCAGGACAACCCGGTTGATAAATTTTGTGCAGTTGACTTAATAGCTGTAGTGTCGATAGGCTCTTTTCTATCTTCAGGCTTCTCTGTCAGCGCTTCGCAAGGAGCTTGCGAATTACCTTCTTCAACATCTATTTCAGAAACGTTCACAACTTCTTCCTTGCTTGGTTTTGGAGATTCAGTATTGGATACTTCCTCTAAATGCTCCTCTTTCGTTTCAGTAACTTGACATTCAATGTCTGAGCTCACTGGCTTACACCTAGCATTCAAATCCCCAATAGACCTACTCTTTTCAACCTGCGCATTCTGATCCTCTTCAGAATCAGAACTAGATTTAAGCAACTTATCTTCGTTATCAGGAGTATATAACTTACTAGCACTGAATGAACCCAAACATTCATCAGACACTTCTGATTCTGCAGATTTTGAATTGTTTTTCAAATCCAACTCTTCAGCTAGATCTTTTTTTGTATCTGGGAGCTTCACGTCACCTGATGCTTCAAACATAGATTTAATAGCGTCATCAGTGCCCTCGGATGTCTTAGTCGTTAACTGACACTGAGTAGAGATCAATTGTTCGTTTTCCTCTTCCTTCACTTCAGTCTTCTTATTTTCCACAAATTCAGCATTGTCAAATCTTCCAGAGGTTTCTGAACTAAGCGGCTCCACTGCCTTCAGTAGATTATTGTTGTTCTTCGACACATTAAAATGTTGAGGAGGGTTGTCTGTTTCGTTCTCTGTCGTATTCTCCATGCTTTTAACAGGTAATACTTCAGTTTCCACTTTGGGCAACTCTGTTACTTTCTCATCGACGGAAGTAGTGGCCTCTTCCCCAACTTGACACTTCGATTCATCGGCTTTCGATGTATACGAAATACAATTGGGACCAAAAAAAAATCTTGGAGGCGATGGACTCATTGAGGTACTCTCCGCATTCTCAGGATTTATATCGTCAGCTTTCTGAGAGGTTGCTTTGGTCGAATCCAATGCATCTTCTGTTATATGTTCGTTGATCAACGATTCAACAGATGTCTCTGTTAAGGATCTTTGAATAACTGCCTCCGTTGCACCTGCGTTACTAGAAGGCATAGATGAGTCACAGTGTGTGGGTTCTTCTTGCGGCGTGGAATCGTAGTCTGCGGAACTTCTACCTTTGGTATCTGTTACACCAGAGGTATCGGATTGCGTAACGTCACTCTGTTCAGTTATGTTAGTGCATAGATTGGCATTTACAGTATCTACAGATGCTTTACTATCCTCACTGGACGTACTGATTATAGCTTCACCCTCTGTAGTAGATTCAGTTACACTTTGACCTGTCGATTCCTTTTCTTCGTTTGGACATTGAATTTCATTCGTATTTCCTTTCATTGATATGTCTCCTTCATTGGATATGATGCTGCTGTCACATTCTGTTTTTTCATCCGGTCTTCCCACGTCCCACCTTGACAATCTCTTAACTGGACCGCCTACAGATTTTGCAAAAACTTGAACGCCAAGCGTTGGCTTGAATTTTTGTTTCTCCAACAAAGATGTTTCAACGACCGTTTCAGAACTCTCCGTGGTATTAACGCTAGTTGGTTGATAATTTCTATTTATCTTTATCGGTGGTTTATTCTTCACTATGGATTCTGTGGTTACTTCGTTTAGGGCGCTACTAGACTCAGTCAATAATTTGTTTTGAGACATATTTGTCGACGTGGAACTACAAGCTTCGTTTTTTGATTCATTGCTTTCTTTATTGTCGGTGGACGTTTCATCTCCTGGATTTCCTGTGTCGCAATCCTGACCAGAACCCTCCCCGTAAAAGAACATAACTGGTTCCTCTATCGCTTCACCAAATAAAGGATTGACAGCATCGCAATCACTGCCCGATCCTTCACCTTGAACCTTCATCACTGGATCTTCTATTGCCTCACCCACTTCGTCCCTCCAATTGCTGCTGGGTAAGGATCGCTTATCCATAGTGCCTCGGATGGGTATTACATCAGCTCGTATTCTTTTCAAAATATCCTGTTGTGCGTCCTCTGCGTCTAATGATCGCTTTAGTGCAGGTCCACCCATCCTCAATGCTGTAATTTTACTCGGATCCGGAAGTATTGTGTAGCTTGGTAGTCTGTGCTCTTCTTTGTTTGATATCCTGGAGGCATGGTACGTCGATCCCATTTCATACCCAGTGAATGACATTTGACGTTTGCTCAAATCCGTAACCATTGCGTGATTGTGCATCATCACGGCTCGAGCATCATATGCCGGTAAAGTTGGGATTTCAGGCTTAGATGGCTTTCTTGTGCTTAGATCCATTTCCCTATGTTGGAAATCTTGAGATCTATAACCCGCCAAAGGCAGATCTGGAGGTTTCGAAAGCTTTCGACTAGAAAGATCGATCCCAGAGAAATCTACAGGTCTGCTGAGGTCACTCGCAGTTTCCCATCCTCGAGGAGAAGTCGAGAGATCCATACCTCTATGACTTCTATGGGCAACCAGTTTATCTACTGGACCTCTTGCACAGAAATCCTGAGGCATCCTGTCTTCGTCAACGTTTGATACTGTTCCGACTATGCTGCTCGCTCTGGCTAAATTCTCTGCAATTTTTTCCAGCGACTTAGCCCCACTTGGCTTCTCTAACTTTTCTGTCTGCATTTTCACTAGGTTTGCAGCAAGCTGATCTATTGGTTTCATGGATAATTTTGGATGTACAACCATCGTAGACTCCATTGAAGAAAAAGGAAGATTACTTTTGCTAGACATTTTTGCTAGGGATTTCAATGCGTCGGATGGATCATCCATAAGTATTTGCTTCTTTGTTGGTGGTAATAAAGCACTAACTGGAGGTTTTAAATCCATATACTTTTCTTCGAACTGTGTCGTTAAATCGGTGATGTTCACCAATTTTAAAGGTGACGTTCTTATAACCGGTGTCTCGATGGATTTCAAAGGCGTCGGATCTCCCACATCCAATTTAATTGTACTACTTTTAGGACACTGTAAGTTTTTCTCGAACTCGGCAAATTTTACAACTGTTGCTGTACTAGCGATAACATCTACATGCTGAGAAGGAGGGTTCTCCTCAACAGCTGGTTTTCCTGACAGCTTTTCCAAATGCTCTTCTGGAGCCTTTGAAACGACTACGGATGTCGCTATCGAAATTTTAGTCTCCTTTGACTCTATTATTTGACTCTCAGGAGCCTCTTGGGAATCATCTTCCTCTGTATTTGGCTGGGAACTTTCTTCATTCGTTAGATCCTCATCATCGTCGTCTTCCTCATCCTCTCCATCGTCACAGTCGTTTTCAGGATCTTCGTCTTGCTGATCGTCTTCCAGGTCTTCGTCTTCGCTTTCCTCTTTAGCACGTTCCGCTTCTTCTTCTACTTGTTCGCTTATTCCATTACCTTGCGGTAAATCCTCTTCTAGACTTGGAGATGTTGTTACTTGACCAGTGTCTATTATAGGCTTCTCTGAAATCTCTAGGCTGTTGCTATCTTCATTAATAGGTATAGCTCCAGCTTCTCCATTTGACAAAGTGCTTATGAGGCTTACCACACCTTCACGGTCCCTGACACAAGTAATATAAATTTCATTACAAATCTACATTTAACTTTAGAGTTAAGTGGAAAAGTTCATTGTATACAAGTTTGCATATTAGAATTAATGAATATGACATGAAAAGCATAGTAAAGTATAACTTACTTAGCAACGAGTTCCCAATTTTCTTCATCCAAGTCTTCTCGATAAACTCTTATATTACATTCCTCATCTAGCTGGCACCAGTAGGCCAGACCAGACTTGTCTCGGCCTAATGGTTCCACACGCAGCTCCTCTGCTGCCAATTTGTTCACTTCATTTTTAAACTTTTGATTCAGGTCAAACTGCGCCTCCAACAAAACCTATAATTCATCATAAATACTCTATACTGTGTATACTTTTGAAACATCTATAATTATATATTGTTATTAGTTATGTCTTATATATTTAATACTAACATGCAGTTATTATGTTTTGAAATATACCTTAAGTAGGCGCAATTTAACACCAATGCGAGCTTTCTTATATCCAAAACGCTCCAGTTCCCAACCATCCTGGTTAGAATATGTGTGGCAAAACTTGACAAGAGCTCGCTCCCACTTCTCTGGAGAAACTGTCTTCCGTGTTTTTCGCAACAATTTTATGTGAAGATCTACCAGTGGCTGTGGGACTGAAATCAGCAACACAACACACTAGTATCAATATCATATTTTTAAAGTGTTTAATATAACAAATTCATTAAATTATCAGTGTTTAATAAATGTATAGATCATGAAATCATAATAAATTTTTAACATTTTCTTTCAACAAAATAGATCAAAGCTCTTTATCATTGTCCTTGATACAAGGATAATTCCAAAATATGAACAATAACCAGTTCTATGTCGATAGTTATACATAAACTAGAATTCATGGTGAATGCATTTTGTATTGACGCTCATTAGTGTGAAATTTATTATGTAAAACTCTTCATACAAGTTTCGTGAATCGAAGGGTATCGAAGGATTAGTTAAGATATGCATATGGAAAAAAAATGGCAAAATGTGTTAATATATTTCGCAAATGGCAATCTTATAAAAAAAAATTAAAATAAGCATTAGAAATAACGATGTAAATTTTCCTACGCAACAAGCATTTCAATTACATGATTATTTTATTCAGGTCCCAAACATTAATTGTAAGATTAAGTAAAAGCGCAATAAAAAAGTCTGTGATAACTAAGAAGAAAAAAAGAATAAAAAACATATTCAAACGCATCACGTGTATATGAAAAGTTAAAAATGTAGGAGGTGGCAGCACGAGGGAAAATAATAACAAGAAACAAATAAAATGTATCTGTCAATACAGGCGGCAATTTGCGCGGTTACGAGTGATCGACGATTGGAGAATAAACGGGGCGAAGAAGGTATTCTGAGCTTAGACGGATATCGCGAAAAAGGTGAAAAGAGAGGGCAAAATGCGCACGCAGACGGTAAGGATTCTTAGCTAAGACGAGGGCAAATAAACTCGCGTTGCTTTTGTCAAAGCGCGACAGCCCCCGGAAGGAAGGAAGGAAGGATAGAAGGAAGGAGGGAACAACGAAGATGCCCGTGGACTCCGGCATCCAGCTTACCTTCTTGCACGTTCTCGAGCATCTCCTGCAGCAGCGCGATGTCCGGATACTCAATCCCGCAAGACTTTCCAAAACACTCCAGGAACGAGCAAATCACCGCGAAATTTGGGTCACTCACGCAGGAGGCTTCGTTATCGGACGCCATTTTTCCGCCGCTCTGGCCGTAGCCGCGTACTACGCTAGGCGGCCTGGCGACTCATGCTCGTGCCTCTTGGTTGACCGATCAAACAAAATCAGCACACGCGACGCGGGACGCCGGCTTGCCTTCGATGCCTTTTACGCCTCTTCACGTACAAAATCACCTCCAACACGTTTCACCACACTTCACCTTAATTCACCACGCCAACCCTTTTCGTACCCGTATCCGTACCCGTAGCCGTCACCGTCACCGCCACCGTCGCGTCACAAAATCTCCCGCTAGCTGATACCAACACCGTCACCGTCGCCGTCGCCACTACCACCACACCGTCGACGCCGCCGCCGTTGACACGGCCGCGCTTTTCACATCACCCACAGATCTTTTTGTCAATCGCACCAAACCCCTGAAAACTCTCCCGCCGAGAATTGTTATTCGTTCTTCGCGTGCTTCCAAGGAACCTCGTTCCTACTGGGAGCACGAGCAGCGCAGAAAGCACGAGCGCGGCCCCCCTCGCAGCGCACACTGGACATCGCCTTCGGGTCCAGGCTATGAAATATCGGGGTTCTCAACCGGCTGAGTACCTGCGCTTCACCCGTGTTTATCCTCTCTCCGCTTCTTTCTCCACCACCTCTTCGACAGTCGACGCTTCTCCTTTCAAAACTATCTCTCAACTGCTATTTTACACTCTCTAATGAAAACTCCAAACCTCCTTGTCTCTACAAACTGCAGCCACCTACACTATTACTTCCACTTAGGACGCTTCTACATTTTTCGATGCTCTTCCAAAATTATCTCCGGCTACTTGCATCGGTTTGCTTTAACGACGCAGTTCCGAGTACTTCGCTAAGTTCGAGTATGTAGTTGCTCGACTTCGATCGATTCGGATGCTCACCAGAAGTGTTCCCGCTACACGTAAGTTTCGAACGGGCAGTATGTCGACCGCCAACGGACTCTACCTAGCAAAATGGAGCATTCGCATCTTAGGGCCTCCTTTGATTCGATGCTTTCGATTCTCCTGAGTATTGAATTTTTTTTCAAAATACAATTACGTAACGGTCAGCGTAGGTTGATGCTACCGAGTATTGCTCTAGAGAGAGTATCCCACCTTCGTTATAGAATAATTAACTTGATCCCGCCACAATGCGTGGACAATACAAGCGGAGTCTTTTGTCTGTTATTAAAACCAATAGATTTCATCTAATCCAGTAAATAGTATAAGTTTATATTTATCCTCGTAAATGATCAAAACTCCGTGCGATTAGGTCGATTTTATGGACTGTTTGTGCAAAATATATTGACTTCCGGCGTTCATTGATCGATGACAGTTCTCGTAAGGAGACGCTTACATTTATAAAAAGAATTCAACGATACATCATAAGGAATATGCTCTAAAAATGTATCTGAGGCGTAATTTCTGAAAGCATTGAATCTATCTGTGATTATGGTGATAATTGAGGCACACTGTTTATACGCTCATTAGCACTCTTTTTCACAAGTTTGGTTGAGTACGCAAAGCACATGGTTCCTCCGCGGAAATACCGCCAAACCACTTGTCTAGACTTTTAACTGAACTGTAAAAATCCTATGATTTCCGTCGTAATCGACGTGCACCTTGCGCGGCAGAGCAGCACGCAGTTTCTACGAGCCAGATAAATACATATATCCAACGTACTGGGTGTACGAAATGTGCCATGTGCAATTCTCATATATCTATCACAGTTCAGATAGGTTTCATATTTTTTTGATATGTTAATGCAGTGTGTGTATATATATATATGATTAATTAAATTTAATAAGCATTTGAGACAGGCTTTTAGAGTAGCTTTAAGTGAAGGATATTTATTGATTTTAATTATTGATAAATATTGTAGGTTTTTATTTTTTTTTGTATATTTTATTGGAGCCCATGTTGAAATGTATATACAATACTAGAAAATCTTACTTGGATATAGTTTGTTGCATTCCATCAATCCCAGATCGATAGAAAATATATTCCATTTCGATTATACTTTTTATGGCTTATACCTGAGACATTTACTTTCCCTCTGATGTACTTTTAAAACCAAGTATTAACAAAAATATATATGGTCCAATCGTATCCTGTTGTCCAGTTTGGACAAACAATAAAAATTCTATTTTCTAAAGCTGTACATATTACTGTATTGTAATGATTTAAATATTACCTAGGGAATACTTGGAATGCAACGGTCTGTATTCAGCTGTGAGTAATATATGTGATGACCGTCAACCCTGTTAGACAATACAATTTTATTTTACGTAAGGCATATTACATACAACTGAAAAATTGATCGATCCAATTGTTGCTTACGTATCTGCCTATCCTAAGTGTATCAAATGGTTTTTACCCAATGTGAAAAATGCATTGTTAAAATAAATGTAGCATGTATCGCTGTAAGGCCTGATGGAATAATAATAACTGTACAGAATGGATACTTAGGTACTGTAAGTTGTAACTTCTCTGCCTGATTATGTTACATGTATGGACATATTTTCATCAGTGCAAAAGTTTGTTGTTATTCTATTGATTTTTCAAACTCTTTTTCATGATTATGTTTTATAGAAGCTGAATATTTACAGTATGGATGATAATTAGTATATATAGATTTAGAGTCTTGGCGATCAACGTCACTTTCCATTTAGCCCGTTAGATTCGTTACATTTTCGTTTAACCTTGATATATTTTAACAATTTGTACAAGTGTCTAAAATTTTTTTAGTGTACATACTGTTCAAACTTCATCACTGTCATAACACCTAGTACTTTACATTTCCAAAGAACTGTTATTATCATATACAAAATAATGTCGGCAATTTTCCGTGATACTCTCTCTCTCTCTCTCTCTCTCTCTCACGTGATTAGATGTTACAAGTATGATACAGTTGATAAATTTCAGATTCTGTATTGAATATGTGTACCTAATCTGTGATTATGTAAACAATTATCCACTTTGTTTCTGATCATGCACATCAAAAATACATACTGCAGTTTGACTTATAATGAAATCCTATTGTACTCAAAAATATTTCATTTTCCAAGCTAACGCGTTGGCCAATGGAAAAGAAGGCAAAGTTTCTATAAGCTTTGTTAAGTGAAAAAGTATCGTTACCACAGATTTGAAAACTTCCTACTTAAACGTAATAAAACTTTTTACTGCTTTCAATTATCAGTATAAACAGTTTCAATAACTTCTGTCTGTAAATCTGCAAATAGTATTACGTACTTGATCTCCAATTTATTAACTTGCATTTTTTTCATTATTTATTGTTTACTTCAAAGATAGTTTTAGGCTTCAGCAGACATAGTCAATATAACAATTGGCACTTTATTCGTTATGTGCGTACGAAGACAGACCCCATATCTAAGCATGTATCTTAGTAAACAGGCAACAAAAATTCAGCAGAAAACACTGTGCAGTAAAATTGGTGGCGCTTATTGAATGCACGTACACAGCAATACATGCTTAGATATTGAAGCTGCGTGTATACGCATAGAACCAATACAAAATACGGCTGTACTCTGTGGAGATGCATTTAAAAGTTAAAATTCGTCATATAATCGGTTTCGAGGTATTAGAATCATGTGTATCAAATAAATCCGACCATCCTATCATAAATACTGATACACCAAATGTCACTCCTGGCATTTTGCTCCAAACCGCACAAGCAGAAGGAAGAGAAGAGGAAGTATATCTTATGGATATTTGAGAGAAGCTCAAAACTGTATGAATATTTAAAAAAAAAAAAGAGATGCATCGTTTACACTTCATGATCCCATTAAACAGTCACAAAGCGTCTTCACTTAAAGAAAATTCCATATAACAAAAGATTCGATTCTTCATTTACTCTCATACTATAAACCGAAAGAAGGAATAATTGTGCACGTGACTTAAGTCATGTTAGGTTATAATTTCTTCATTGGGTTTAGAATTAAAAATTACACCTGGAGTGTGAAGTTCAGCATCAGTAACTGTCGAATGCGCCGTCAAAAAACGCAGGAAATTACTTCGACGCCGCTTGCGCCGTAATAGACTTCAGTTGCTGCTTATATTTCTCAGCTTCTTCTTCTTTCTTCTGTAACTGTTTACGGTATTCTGCGGCTTGTCTTCGCGCCTCCGCTAGTTGCCTATTGAGCACTGCTATATCCATCACGGGTTCCGTGTTATCTTCACCCTGATTGTCATCTTCAGTAATTTCCTCTATCTCGTCATCCAAATGTAAAATTCTTTGTTCCGTTACCTTCGTCAACTGGTTGACTACTTTATTCTGTGATAAGAAATTGTATGAATACAAATCAATGGAATATTCCTATAACAGATATTAAATCAAATGTAATGCTTCTATACCTTCGACAAAGAGACAATATGCTTAGCTTGTGTAAGCGTCGGAACAGTAGATGTGCTATTAGCTAAGGAAGCTAAAAAGAGTTTCCCTGCTTTGTTCTCATTAATATTTCTCTTTAATATGTTAGGACCTCGAGGAGTCAAGGTAGGTGCGTTTTGACCTAAGATCTGATCAGCGCGAATCGCAATAACTTTTCTGGAAGTTCCTCTTCTCGTTCCCACTTGCAATCTTTTCATTCCCATTGAAGGTGTTCTAGTTAAATTTAAGGCAAGTTTGCCTGCTTCTGCCAAAACAGATTTGTTTAATTAAGTAATTCCTTTAAGATAATTTCATTGGATGTAAACACTACGTTACCTGTTAAGACGACAGTCTGACCACTTTCCATAGCATTTTCCACGATTGTTGCATCATTATCAACAGGAATCATCGTGATTCCGTGTGCTTGGAGTAGTCGGAGGGGTTGATCCGCCCCACCAACTCCTGAAACGTCTTCATCCCTGTAGCTAGTTCCATGTCCTTGATTTTCGATACCATCAACGCATTCTATATCCTTTTCATGCTCTTCATCACTCACTGACGACACGCGGATTTGCTGGAATACCATTCTTGGCTTTTTACCCACTTGCACTGTGGAATTAAGATCAGAATGTTAAAAGAGTGCAAATAAGGCATAGACATCGTACATTACTTGTTTATACCTGTAGCTACTTTTCGTTTTTGGAGTTGTTGTTGCTGTTGCAACTCAAGTTCCTGCTGTTCCTGTTGACGCTCAGCTTCTAATTGCATTAAACTGTGTGTTGCTACTTCGAGTTCAGCGGAATTCGCTTGGCTTTGCTGATGTGTTTGGACACCTAATATTTCCCTTTCCTGTTGTAAAATGTCTACTAAATCAAGTCGGTCGTGTTCCAAAGCAAGGCTAATTGGCGTTTTATCAAATTTGCTTGTTGCATTCGCATCTGCTCCATGTTCTAGCAACACATTCATTACTTCTACATGTTCACGTTCCACTGCCCAATGCAGAGGAGTCATTTTTAACTGAAAATAATGATACATGTTGAAAATATAATATTGTAAACGATCCAGATTTTTAGTTTTTTGTAAAGTATCTACCATGTCTCTACTATCAACATCTGCACCATAATTCAGTAGCAGTTGTGCCATTTGATGATGACCTTCGTATGCAGCCATGTGCAAAGGTGTTCTATCAACCTTTGTTCTGGCATCCCTTGAAATCCCTGCCCTTAACAAAACCTCTGCTGTTTCTGTATGGTTGTTTTGAGCAGACAAGTGCAATGCACTTGTACCAAGCTAGGTGCATACAATAATTATGATATTTGTTTATTAAACACAAGATCCAATGGTATTCTTACACACGGAAAATCTAATACACATACCCAATCTGTTGTAAATGGTGCCCCTCTACACATAAGATCACGGACAGTCTCTGTATCTCCATTCCTTGCACTCAATAGTAACTGCTTTCCTAATTCTACTATCGATAAGGCATCTTGTGAGCGAGAGCGATGTGACACATCACAAGAAAGTATTTCAACCTACAGCAAGCAGTTTATAAATTAGAACAATGCCAAGTTTAATAATACACCAAGCCATGTTCAATATAATGTAATTATTTCATACTTATACCTACCGGGATTAGGGTATCTCCATCGAGTCCCTCAATGTCTCCAGCACAGATGCTTTCCGCTTGCATGATTAGGTATGAAGTTTAAGCCTCCTTTTAGTGTACACTAAAGGAAATGGATAAATAGCTGTCAGTATATAGAAGAAGCATTCCTCAAGAAATGATGTTCCCAGCAGATTTTCTATTTTGCAAAAACAAGTCAGTAGGATTTGGCCTTGAAGAACCAAGTGCCCAAAGTGGGACAAAATTACAGAAATGTGTCCGACTATAGATAAGCATTTCTAGTACGAGATTTGAGTTCTCTGTAAACCCTAAAAAGGAACAAGTATATTTTTCGAAATTTTCTTCTGTACAGGATGTTTTTATTTTGCCATCTCAGACGGAGATGAACTTCCTGTTCCTGTCCATTAAACGGAAGTCCCTTGCCATAGGCCCCGCGATTCTCGGACAAAATTCACCCAATTCAGACAAGCAATAGCACGGAGACAAGATGTACTTACGAGGAGCACATTGTTTTTGCTTTTTAGTGCTTTTCCGTGCAATTTTCCGTTAACCACACACCGTTTACTGGAATTCTTCCGTCCCACAGCCTTCTCGATTTAGAATCGGGTCGAAGTTTCGTAAATATGGCGTACCCTTGGCGCCATTCCTGATACTGTCGTACGACCACTGAGAAATTTCACGTAAAACGTATTTCAATATTTTCCATCACGAAAAAACGAACTTTAATAATTTTTAATCATCGTTTCCCCACCATTTTTACTTTCTTAGCACCTAAATACATATAAAGTTCATTTGACTCAAGCGCCATGCTGCGACATACTCGTGAAACAGGCATAACGTGAGAGCTTGGCTTTGTAGTTACAGGTGAAGCTAGGTACAATTCTCATATTTAAATATACCGGGTGACACCGAAATATCGTGTCAGAATAATCTTCGAAAACCTAATTATTTTTCTAGATCGATTTTCAAACCAAAATTTCGTTCGCTAGAATCACAAATACGAGCAACCAGCCAAGAAAGTGTTTTACGTAATAAAACACAATAGCATATAAAATACTACTAACGAATTCTCTCTCTCAATAGCTATTCAAACAGCAGAAGTCTGAGTAGCAAAAGAAATTCAGCAGTGAAGAGTAATAGCTCATCCTCCTAGAAAACTTAAGGAGTAGGAAATAAGAATTTCATCTTCTGAATAGGAATGCAGATCATTCCGATTGTCTCGAGTTCCTCCTCTTCTTCTCGACTAGCTGACAGTCACGCGATTTGGGTCAACCCTTTCAATTTCGCATTACACGAAATTTATCATCCGAGCCATCGTGTCGTTTGTCATCTGCCCAATCTGATGGCTCGTTTCCCTGTATCAAAAAGGGAAAAATAGAAATCCAAGCATGTATAAACCCTCTTCAAATTTTCACGAAACTCAGCCCAAAATTGAAATCCAGGTTTATATTTTTTTCACGATTTTTCCTCTACCTTCTTTTTTTGGAAATACGACCAAAATTCATTCTTTTCGTACTTCCATTCCAATCCATATAAAACAATCTTATCTTATCCCACGTGCACATCAAGATGAGAATAAATAATCATACACTTTCCGAGCACTCTTACCAACGGACGTCTTCCGTTAATTGCTCCTAATGTACGTAAAGGCTCGGTATATTCTATACTAATTGTACTCGGCCCAATCTCTCGTTCGCCAGTTCGCTTTGCTCGCGCGGCCGAGTATATACCACGGGAAATTGCAATACCCTTTCCGCCCTCTCTCACTTCCATTCCCACTCAGTCGCACGCTCTCTCTCCCTCTCTCGCTCTCTTTCTCTCCGTCCCGCATTTGACCCACAATCGCAGAGATAACAGAGCGGCAAGGTGCAACAACAATGAATCTCCGGGTACCACGAGGAGAGATATACACCGGGCAAAAGAATACTGGAATGATCCAAGAAGACATTATTGATTTCAAAATCGACACAATGGACGCCGTAACCGTTGTAAGGTTTCCGAGGCAAAACAAACAATGGATATTAGAACGCTTTTTCAGATTCTACAATTTACACGAGTTTCTTAGCCCGAAAATTGTTATCGTGCGTGAGTTAACTATTATTATTATTACTGTTATTGTTATTATTATTAAGAAGTAATTCTTTGTTTTCCTCTCATTCATTTATCATATACAGTAGGACAGAGTGTAATGAGCTTATCGAAAGATGCTCTGTTGATTATAATTTATGGAGAAGCTGGGTCAAAGGTGATTTTATAGCAGTGGTGCTATCAGGTGCGTGCCCTGCCACATCGCGTTACCCATTCCTTATATCGTAATCTAAGGAGGTGGCCGCCCGACCGAGTAAGAGGTGAGCTTGCATGCACTGAAATGGAGTAGGTTAGAGGGATCGTGAATTTCTTATGAAGCAAAATGCTCGCGATGAAAGGACTGGAGGAGAAACTTTCCTGTAACCGAAATGACGAATCGTCGAGCGTGACGGCTGGCAGGAAAGTTTCTATATATTATAGTATATATATATATATTTCGTCTCTTCGTGCGTTTTGGCATTTTTATTCTTTCCTACAGAATTCTTAATATTCAGGAACCAACGGTAATCTCGGTATAGGGTTGATGTCCTTTGCCACTGACGTTATGAGTCTTGCATACACATACTTTAAAAATGTATTATGCAGTTTCTATGTTTAACATATATTTTAGGGCCATTTTAGTTTAAGTTTCGTGTTACCTGAGCTACTGCAGTATGCACCTTGCTAGGATGGAATATGTATATTTTATATATATATGTATATACATGGACGTGATTCCAACTGCAGGATTCAGGAAGTGCCGCACGGGAAATGAGCTTCTTGCGTGAACAATACTCGACTTGAAGCAAATTTAAGTTACTTCACGTGAGAACGAAAGCCTTAATGTATTCATATAAGTACTGTCACCTTTTTTTTCTCTTCTTCTAATAAGACCAAGTCCGGTAGGAGAATTCTTTGCGTGGATAACATACGAATATGAAAGAATTGTATGATTTAATTCTTACATGGAGTTTTCTATGAGGATATATATATATACATATAGGATTATTAATATTATTTTTTCGTTTTAACAGCACGCTTCTTCCTCTTCTCTTCCGGACGATACGGTCCCAACTTCCGGCGCACCATAACACCTCGCCACCACGCTTGAATCTTGATGGCACTGGTACGTTCGTGCTCTTCCCGTTCTCTCCGTTTCCTTATGGCCTCTTTTTCAGCCAGGTAAGCGTCTATGAATTCTTGTTTACCGAGGAACTGAAAGATCGGCAGCCATTTTGATGACGTAGAGAATTAATAAATATGGCTGACAGAAGCTGTAAAGGCTGCTGGTAAATGTGTTTGTTATTGAATTAACAGAACGTAGAACTGGTACAAAGTTATGACGAATAGAGTGTTCCCGCCAGAAGGATATGGACGATGGGGTAGCGAAGGGCGAAGGGGTGCAGTGGCGCGTAGGGCACTTCTTTTTTATTTATGAATTTTCATGAGGCTATCATTCTCGGCGGCTTCGATCACAGCTTCCTGAAGTAAGCTATTGATTCCTAAACACGTTTTCCCGTTCACGCTACGGGAACCTTCTGACGTTACGCGAGTCTAGTACCACTCTTATATTTGCATAGGAAACATACCTCCTCTTTCAATTTCCCGACTAACTCCTGCCGGGTTTCGATTTCGCTTCGCAGTTGACAGATTTCTGTCTCGTACGTCTTCGCCTCGGTGTCGTAACGCTGCTGCCAGTAGGTTATTTGATTTTCATTGAGCTACGAAGAAAAATTTCATGTACCATAGAGTTTTCAGCTTCTTCGTGTCTTCCTCTATCATTTTCATTCCTAACTTCAGTCCTCATACGTACGCTTATATTTTCCAAGAGATATCTTACAATCTCCTCATTTACGCGACACTCCTTCTTTTTACGGTCGAGACAATTCTTTAAATCATCTCTCATACTTTCTACACTCATCTTACACCGCAGCGACATCTGCTCGCATCTTGATCTTTCCCAGGCATCTAGATATCTCAATTCTGCATCAGCTGTTATTTCCAAAGTATCCATTTCGTTCTAAATGTCAGAATGAATTGTTGTTATTATTATTGTACAATTTTTTTCTATCTTCTTTCACTATACCGTGTACCCGTATATCCCGTAGCCTTTCTTTGCATCTTTCTTCCTCTTGGCTATTGGTCTCTGCCTCGGTTTTAAGGATCCTACGTAGATTCGCGACAGCCTTGGACATTTCCTCCGATCTTCTTAATAGGACTTTGTCATTGTTATTTTTTTCTTTGATCGTCTCCACCGTCGCGGATAGAACGGCAAAGCATCCATATTCACGCATCTCGTCCTTTGTGTCATCCAAAAGCTTTTTCGCGTAAAGGCTACGGTCGAGAATGTAAAGAGATCTTACACTTTGTCGATCCTATAAAGTCAATATCTTGTTATGAATATATCACCTGTCCTTTTGCAGCTTGTGAAACGCCGCTTGGTTCTCTATGTCCCTCAGGGTTGCACTTGGGTCGTGGCTGAGTAATTGCTTCTTTTCACAATGCGAATATCTGGAACGGATATTTTTTTGTGATTTCAAAAAAAAAAAAAAAATTTTATCTACTTCCCATTCCAAAGGGCTTTACATGGCGTTACAATATAAATAACGAAATGTCACGCCTGACTTACCGCTGTAGAAGGTGGTCCACGCCGATATTAATATTCGTTACTGGCTTTTTTAACGTGTGTTGATAAATGGCCAATGCATCACTGCATTCCTCGAGCACGGACAAAATGGCGTTACGCTCGAGGGGGAAAAATTCGGATTTTTTTTCGACAATTGTAAGGTCGGTTAACTTGAAAAAATAAATAATCGTTCGTAAGTTACTGGCGTATTTTTTTTATTTTAAGAAACGACAACTTTTAATCGTACCGAAATTGTGGGCTTTTGATTTTTGTAAAATTTCGAAATTGTGAAGGAATTACCTTATCGACTTTATGCTTCGTTTCAGAAAACTTCGGAGACTCGTTTTCCATTATTGCACGTGAAAGGGTCGGAGAGAAAAATGTTACGATTGTACGTAAAAGTGTAATACCGTACGGGGATACAAAAATGAAGCACCGTAAAAAATTATATTAGCCCATAGAAGATTATTTGGATATGTTTTATTATTATTTAGAATGATATTAAATATACTTAGTTAACCGTATTAGTCCGCCTTCTTGTACTGGTAAAATATTTCGTTATACCGTTTGATCCATTAAGGTACGTTGCCATGGATACCAACACCCAGTATACTATACGCGTCAACCATAATCCAATTTTATGTCGCTGAACGTGTTAAAAATAGTCACCAAAAACTTTACAACATACTCGAAATTTTATGTTTTTTAATTTAAGGAAGGACCACGTTATATATATATATATATATATATATATTTGTGTATATAGATTATATAAGTAGGTATAAATACTTAATAATTAGCACAGTTTAAATCAAAGTCTTTTAATTTAAGGAAGGACCACGTTA